TGTTTCAGGCTCTGCTTTCTGGGGACTCAGGTTACCAGGCCACCTGAGCCTGCATGCTAGAAATTATCTGTGGCACTCGGCGTCCTCATCCACAATCCCCTGTGTTGCAGGGGCTGGAAGGCGAAAGCCTCCCCTTCCCAGAAGCCCTTGCTGCTGGGGGTCTGGATACAACCTGGGCTCTGCCAGAGGGAAGCACCACGGGAGAGAGTTGGAAGGCAGAGAGAAGGTGGGGGCCATTCTTCCTGCCGAGTGGTGGCTGATGGGTGGGATTGGGCAGACATGAGTTTTTGCAGCAGCAGGACACGGTGTTCCTTCCACTTTATTGTCACCAGCTTAATAAATGTGCAACTAAGACATTGGCAATAATTTCCTGCAAAGTGGCAGCTGGGTGGTGTGATCATGAAGTGTAGAAGTATGCCCTAACTTCCATTCTTCTAGGTCTTTCTACATAAAATTTCCTACGTTACTCGTACATTTCTTTCTGTACAAAATACCTCAAGTGTTTTCTATTTTCTGCACTGAACCATGGCTGATTTGGCTTCCTCACCCCCACCAAATACTACACCACCAGGCTCAGGCAGAGGGAATCTAAAAGGCCACCCATTCACCCAAAAAGACTGCAAAAAAACACAATAAAACTGGGAGTCAGACACTGTTGATTGCCTACTCAACAGTCACTTCCCCTTTGTCTTTATCAGATCAATGTCCCTTCTGGAAACCTGGTCTCTCTTGTAGCCAGGGCATGCGGTATGTGACCTGTTCCTGGACAAGGAGCCTGGAGAGAGCGTGCAGAGAGTGGGTTCTGGGATAGATTGTCTTCTCTGATAAAGGGAGACACACAGGAAACTGTCTCCTCCCTGCCAGTGGATGGGGTTCTGTGAGAACATGATGGGTGGGGCAGCAACAGCCATCTTGCAATCATGAGGGCATAAGTCTGTGGACAAAATTCAACATACTGAGTATGGCAGAGTGGACAGATGAAAAAATACCTCGGTCTATGAGGACATCGTTGAGCTGCTGAACTAACCCTGGAGCTGCCTACTTCTAGTAGACATCACCCTGGCAGAACCCTTTTCTGAGCCACATAGAAGCCAGTTCAGCTCTTCAGAGTTGTTTCCATGTTGACATGCTGGGACAGAGATGCTGGGACCTCTGGGAGCTGGGCTGGGACTAGGGTGAGGCACTCGGCTGGGGTGTAAAATTGAAGGAGGTGGCAAAAAACTCAGTAATCAGGATAAATGATATTTAAAAAAAATCAAAGTGGATGCAGAAACACACAATTAACAAAATACCAATTTTTTCTAAATAAAGAGATTCAAGAATCGCTGTTGCCAACTAGGTCTGCTCTACTTGTTTTTCCACAGAGGGCACACCCCATGACTCTCACCTATGCCATCCAGATAAGGGAGCAGAGCTCTGGGATTTTGAAAACTGCACTCAAGGCTGGGCTGTGCCAATGACTTCCCTTCTTTGGACTTTGGCTACCTCATCTGTCCTGCATCGGGGCCGGGGCATTGTCAGGCTGGCCTCCTGACCCGTCCTCCTCAGCCCCACGGCCTGCCGAGTTTACTGTCCCTGCTCCTGGGAGGCTGTGTCTCCAGGGCCATCCACTGCTGGCTATTAATATCTCAGCCATCCCTGGCTTGATCGGGGTGTTTAATGACTGCCAGCTGTGGCTCCGGCCCCCTCCCCTGGGAGAGATAAGAGCAGTTCCTGTTCCCACATGGGGGGAGGTAGGGGGAGGAAAACAGGCACTGGGTGAGTGGTGGGAATGGAGGGGCTGACACTACACCCCGCCCCGCCCCGCCCCGCCCTGGTTCAGCATACCAGAAGGGGGTGCCTGGGGAAACAGGCTCCCTGTGTGCCCCTCCCGACAGGGGCTGCCCTGGTCTCCCCACCCACTGCCTGGGCCCTGTTGCTTTAGGTTCTGAATCCAACGGCCTGGGGGCTTTCCCACAGATGTCCCACAAACATCCAGTGTGTCCCCAGCCAGGCCACCATCTCCCAGTCTTCACCACCCCCACCTGGATGATAGACTGGCAGCTTTGCCCAGGCCTGCCTCTGAGGCCCTACTTAGCAGCCAGAGTGGGGGGGCCTGTCCCAAACCCACCCTCAACCCTTGGCTTTATTTAAGAAGCCTCCACTGGGTTCCTGCTGCAAAGGGCCCCTAGCACCTGTTACCTGGATTCAGGTGTCCCTGGCACCTATCATGCTCTTTTGGCGCCCAGAGACCCCCGCCTAGACCTCAGAGACTATCCCGTTGTCACCTCACCTGGGAAGCTGCTCCCTATCCATTCTGCTGGCAGACTGGCCGCCCTCCTTGGGCAGCCTGTGCCCTGGAGTGGCAGGAATTGTCCACACGGTGGCTTCCGTCATTGACACGATGGTGGCCTTCTGCGCCAGGGTAGTGGGGGGCTCCTTGCCCTTGTCTTCCCAGGAGGTGACCACTTGAGTTAACTGGCCTTTGCCCTCAGGGGCTGGGGTCAGAGCTCAGTCAAAGGCCAGGGCCTAGCCTGTGGGCCAGCCAGCCTGGCTCTACCTGGGGCCACAGCTGGGCCTGGAGCAGGAATCACTCTGTGCCGCAGACGTCAGGGCTCTGGATCTGAGGGCCAGGCTCTGGGCCCCCTTTAATCCTTGGGGTCACCAGTCCTGTGGCCTCACCACCTCTTCCTTCTTGTACCTCACTCTGAAATGGAGCTGAGGAGAGGGGCCTGTCCTCTGTGTCACCAGGCCTCCCGGGGTGTGGGTGGGGGCCTGTACCCAGGTGTTTGGGGCCCTAAGGCCAACCTTGGTGAAACCCTTGAGGGACCCACCAGGTGGCGATAGAGATGAGCTGGTCTGGCCTGACAAGTGCCCTGCAAGGCAGGAGGGAGGGACCCTGGAACTAGAGAGAAGAGGGGGTGCAGGAAAAATTATTTTTGTGGTCACCCCCACTCCACCTTTACTTCACTGGCAGCCTGGGATGTCTGCCTGTGGCCTCTGCTGCCGCCGTCCTGAGACAGTGTTTCAGCGTCTCCCTGTTCCTGAATACCCACCACTGGGCTTCTCACCTCCTGCCACGTCTCAGGGCGGGGTCCCACCTGTGTCCTCCCTTTTGCTGCCCCTGTCTGGGGTCTCTCTGTGTTTCATTCACTTTCCACCCTCCTGGCTGCTGCTCTCCTTGGGGCTCTCCTCATTACCCTGAAATCACGACTCACTAAAGGTGGGATTTCAGGCCCTGTGGGATGCACTGGCTCCAGCTTAGTCTGGGGGCCCCTCCTGGTCCCCACACCCCACAGGCAGCCTGGGGGCTTCCTGATCTGGATGGAGGGGTATGCCCTTTCCTCGGCAAACACTTTGCTTCTAGGATGTGTCGGCTCCTCCCATTCTGTTTTCCCTCCTCTTCTACTAGCCTGCGCGCACCCCTCAGTTCTCTGACCTTGGTCTCTGCACAGCCCCCCATCCCTGTGTATCCCTTGGCCCTCAGACTTGGAGCTGCTCTCTTCCCCCTGAGCCCAGAGGACAGAGCAAGTGGCAGAGGGCCTCTCTGGTCAGCCTCCTCCTTAGCCAGGAATTAAGCTGAAACCATCCAATACCCTCCCTTGCTGTGCAAGTGGAGAAACTGAGGCCCGGAGAGGGACAGGGACCTGCTCATGATCTCCGAGAAAGTCTGAAGCAGAATCAGGACTAAAAGACTAGGGCTGGGTCTTCCTGACCTTACTGAGAAGTGTGGGGGTGGACAAGGTTTCTGGAGGGACACAGGCATGGAGCAGGGAGTGGGAAGTAAAGAAACCAGGGAAAGTGAGTGACATGCTCCCGCTGAGTGGGAGGAGCCTGTCCTCCACCTCTCATCCCCCATGCCTTGTAGTAGAAATGTGAGACTCTCAGGGAAGAACGGTGCTCCAAACGCCCAGCCCAGCTCTTCCCCAGAGCACTTCATTGGTGGTCACCACTGTTGACCTAGGCAGGGGGAGGGGACAGAGGGTGCTGAGAATTCTCTCTCCAGCAGGCCAGGGAGTGCCTGAAGTCAAAGCTAGGGGCACTGTCTCCTCGTCTGTCTTACAGGTGACCATGTACAGGGCAGGCATGGAGCGTGAATCTAGATGGAGCGAGGTTGCCTGTCCTGAGTATGCTGGACCGCTGATCAAAGGGTACTGGCCTGGGGCTTCCCCAGCTCTGGGTTCACTGTCACTCTTATCCTGGCCTGACCACCCCTGACTTGGGCCTCTGCAGGGTGCTGGGCTGTACTGTCCTTGATGGGTCCTGGGATAGTACTGAGTAGCACGAAGCTTTGAAGAAGCCTTGCAGGCAGATCAGAGCCTTTGCCAGCCCATTCTGGCCTCACTTTACGAGCTTGGCATCCCTCTCCCGCTCCTGCAGCAAGACTACCTCCTTGCAAGTTTGCAGGAAGTGGACCGAGGAGGTCAGCTCAGGCCAACGGCTCTGGAGAAATCTCTTCCTGGCTGATGTCATCTACTTCACCCTACCACCTCTGTGTCTAAACCTATTAGTCATATTGTCTTCGCTCACTCACTTGTTTTGGTGACATTTGTTCTGTCCTTGATCTTCCTCCTCTTGGCTGAACCCTGGCAATGGCAACATGTTCTCATCCCCCGTGTTATCCTTGTCTGCGGGAATGACTGTCGCCTGTGAATTGCTTACACTTAACCATTTTGGGGGCCGAGCGCAGCTCTGTCACTTGTTTTTCTACTGATCCAAGCATAGAAATGTCTCTTCTTGGCTAGATTTAGAGGGTGGGAGGACACAATGAAGACCTTGTTTAACTTCTTCACACTCGGAAGAGAGAAGATACCCCCTCAATGAGATGTCAGTTGAAGGCTCTTAGAACTGTGCTCCTCACATGGAAATCCGGGATTCCCATCCAAAGCCAGAGGGGCGGTGGCATCTGGCCTCAGTGACATTTTTGACCGCCTCCCCTCCAATTGGGAAGAGATGGCCACAAGTTGGAAGCTAGTCCCCATTTTAGGCCACGTGGGAACATCAACCATCAAGAAAACCAAGCCAATCCCACCACACATTTATTGTTGCCACGTGTGTTTGCTGCCCTGAGGGGAACTTCTGGCTGGGGTGTGGGCAGGAGGCCACGTGGCCACAGGGGTGCAGGGCAGGCACAGGATGCCACAACCAGCAGGCTCTTGTTCAGATGACACATGGGCCAGAGGACTCCAGCCACACTCCAGGGAGGGTTGGGGGGGAATGGCGTTGCAGGGACAGTGGTGATAACAATATTAGTGGTGATACAAATAACCAAGAGGATCCAGCATGTTACAAGATACAAAAGGTAGCAGTTAAAAGTCTGTGCTTTCACTTTCCCATCAGCCAGATCTGAGTTCAAATCCTGCTGTGTGACAAGGCGAGGTACCTACTCTCAGTTTCCTTATCTGTGAAATAGGGGCAGGAGTTCCCACCTTGCTGGGTTGATGTGAGGTTAAAGTGCCCATGAGTGTACATCTCTGAGCCTGGTTCTAACAGTTGGCACATAGGTGGGCAGCCTATAGCCCATGGAGATGGGTAGGGCTGGTGGCAGTCTCCATTGAATTGTTCCAGCCATCCTGGGACCACTCCACGTCAGCGGGGACTATGAAGATATAGCTGTGCTCCGCGGACTAGAACTCCATGTCACAACCGCAATCTGCCTGAGGCCAAGAAACTCATTCACCTTGAGGAGCTGGCAACTAAGAGGAGGACACTGGGGGAGGGGACTGCATCCTCTGAGAGATGCTTGAATGGCAATGCTTAACCCAAAGGAACTTGACAGCAAGGGTAGAACTTCAGGCACTGTCGAGGTGGTGGCAGCGGGTGACTTTTAGGGGCATGACCTTTGTCAGTCTAATTCCCACAAGCCTTGCTTAGGGGTGGGCGGTTACCTTCCGCAGATAGGTCACGAGGGGGCGGAGTCACTTGACAGTATGCGAATTTCTTGTCTTTGATTGGCCAAGGGGGCATTTGGAGGCGGAGCCTGACGACTGAGCTCCACCCCACATCTTCCAGGGTAAGAGCTCTCAGGGCTCCTGCTTGCAGAGAAGCACCTGCCGGTCTATGCACGCTCCTCTGCACAGGGAGGCTCAAAAGCTGCGTTCTCCAGGGGCGGAGAGCCAGGACAGCCTCCGAGCCCAGGGCCGGGGCTGGCCTCGCCGGGGCAGGCCTCTGCCCCCGATGCCGCCCAGGCTGGTGGGGCTGCCCTGGGTCCCTGGCGATCAGACCAGAAAGTCTTCGGCCTGGAAGCTGGAGGAGCGGCGCCCGCTGGGGCTGCCGCGGGTCAGCATGGAGACCTGTGTGCTGCATGTGACCCCGTTGCTGCCTCCTGACGAGTACTGGTATTTGGAACCCCGGCCCAAGATGCCCTTCAGGTTGCTGCGCCTCCACTTCCGCCTCAGCTCCGCCTGCACCTGGGAGAAGGGAGGGTGGTCAAACCTCCGCCACTGCTGATGGGGCTGCTCTCGATTTAGGGTGCTGAGCCAGCCAGTCATATCCTTTTGGGGCGTCTAAATTGAGAGACCCGGATGCTCCCTTGGGGGGTGCAGAGTTGGGTGGGCACAGGGGCCAGGGTCAAGCCAAGGCCTTGGAGTAAGGGGAGGTGAGAGGCAGAGAGGATCAGAGAATACAGTCCAGGGATGGAGAGAGATACCGCCTGAGGGCAGCTGTAGCCTCATTTTTCTGACCCCCACCCACCAGCTCACTTGAGCTCATCCAGGTAGATTTCTGTGCTTTGTCACCAGGGCTTCACCATCACTCAACCTTCACTCGCTGTCCCACGGGTCTGCACTCACTCTGCATACAGACACTTCACATAGGCACTTCTCAAACTGATTAGCACGTGAACCCCCTGCGGGGATTCTAAGTCAGCAGGTCTGGGCTGGGCCCAGAAATCAGCATTTTAAACAAGGTCCTAGGTGCCACCACCAATTTACTAGTCTGAGGATCAAACTCGGAATAGCAAGGTTTAACCTGTTCCTAATCTGCACATTTCCCATCAGTGTTCCTGAATCCTGGGTCTACCGTGTTCTGTTCCCTGGCCCCCAAGGTCTGGGAGGGGCTTACCTACCTCACCATTGAGGAAGCAGTAGAGGATGGCCACCACAAAACCCTGGGGAGGAAGGGAGCAGAAGAGATGAGGTAGTCAGACCCCAGGAGCCTCCAGCCCTATTCCACCCCTGGCCCCGGCCTCCCAAGTTCCCCTGGTTAAGCAAAGGGCTAAGCACACAGCAAGTGTTCAATCAATACTTGTTAAAAAGACTGGAATCCAGTGGCAAGGGGCCAACGCTTCAAGCTGAATTCCCTTAAATCCCGGAGAGAAGAGTTCAGCCTTAAGTCAGCAGTTCTTACCTGGAAAGACCCCACGACGAGCTCAAAGACTATTTTCACGTCAGCCTTAAAATTGATGGGGAAGAAGGCAAACACGGTGTAGTGTATTCCAAACAGGGGGATCAGCAGAAGGGTGGACTTGGCCAGCTTCCTGGAGACAGGGAGGGGCAGGCCGTGGGTAGGTGTCCACACATGTGGACATGATAGGGCCTGGCACGGGGACCACTGGGGCACAGAAGATGTGAGTACGGACTGCTGGCTCCTGTAACTATTGCGCCCACATCTGGTCCTGTTCCATATCTGCAGTGCTTAGCCTCTCACGCCCTCCGGCCCTCCCAGAATAGAGGCCCCTCTATTCTCACCCTTCTGGGGGAGAGAATAAAAGAAGGCCAGTGCTGAAACCTGAGGATGATGCCTAATCACGGTATTTCAGGCTCTGGGGCAGCTAAGGGGAGATGTTCTCAGGCAGCAGGAGATGCTGGTTCCCCCTCTCCTGGTCTCAGTTTCTGCAAACTGTACAATGGGGGTAAATGTATGCTCGACACGGTCAAATTACAGAAACTGGGCCCACTGTAAACTTAGAAGTGCTTTGGGTGCTACAAAGTGCAATGCATCCACGAGAGACCAATTCGCTGCTGGGAATGAGGACATTTGGGAAGGGAGTCTTTGTAATTGGGGTCCCGACCACATATGCCCAAAGGCACTTAGGAGAATGGTTGGCACTCGAGTTTGTGCCTGGTCACCAGGGATGACCCGGGGCCAAGTAGTACAGTCTTTGGCTTCTCTGCTGCACTCGCTTCTTCAGGAGCTGCCACCTTTTCTGGGATTTCAGCCCTCTCAACCAGCCCCCCCCCACCCACCATGAGCTCCCCACACCGATACACACACTTCCAGCGTGCCCCTCCTTCGGCTGCCTTGTGGGCTTGGCAGGGTGCACATTCACTCTGAATGACTGGCCCTTTTCCTACGGAGCAGGCAGGGCTCATCCTG